ATAGCTTCAAATTGCAATCGAAGTTGTTATCCAGTAGCTCTTTGGGAATCACCTTTTTCGTGATAAAATGCTATTTTATTCCTGTCAAAATGTGTGTAACCTTTGGCATTGCCATATTCATAGATTCAGCTAAAGTAATGGGAACAAATTATGTGTTTTTGTGACAGGCTGCTAAAAACATAGTGCCTAAAGATACTAATTAAATTGGTTCTTTGCTCAGTTGTCTGTTATGTGTCGAGAAAATAGAGCTTCATTTCTTGAGTTTGGCACCGTTTTATGCTTGAGTGAGTCACTGGTCAGTGTTAAGTGCTCAAACACATCCCTCTGAAAATGGTCTGGCACCGGACTGGAGTGAAAAAGCAGCCAGTGACCAAAGAAAACCTTGGAAAGAGCTTTAGAAAGGCTAGAGACTGACAGAAAATAATTTAGAAAAAAATTGATGTATTTGTTGATTGATATTTTTATATGGATTTCTATTGACATTGAAGAAATGTCAACGCCTGTCATGTTTTACTTTCTGTGTATTCTGCTTGGATCTCTTTTGGTTTTGTTAGTTTTTCGTGGAGGATCCTGGAGGACCTGTGGATGACATCCTGCCAACTGTGAATCTAACCAATAACAGCCAGCTGGACTACATGGTGGACAACACAGGCAAAAACAAGTTTTACCTGCCAGTAAGTACAGCAGTGAGAGGTCAGCAACATGACCTGCAGAGAAAGTACTGCGGCCATCTAAAATGACATCTAAACAAGCAAAATGAGACATCTGTGTCTCTGTGTTGTGTTCGTGTCCAGCTCTGTATCTTTTCTTGGACTCTAGCAGAACAGGTGAGCCTTGGTGCAGCCCCTCAGTTCATTGTCTATCAGAAACGAGCTGTTTTAGCTGTGCTCCCTTTAAGGCAGCATTTGGGGCCTCACAAAACTAAAAGTATCCCACATTTTTATCAAAGTATGCAGTAAGTCACACACCACAGCACATGCCATATTGGGTCATCTGTTGTTGATGTTCCTTTACTCTCTTTCAGTACTTTATCTACTGCTGTATACTGGGCTTGGTGTCATGCTCCGTGTTCTTGAGGATCAACTACGAGCTGAAGATGGTGGTGATGCTGGTCGCCGTGGTAATCTACAACATCATCATCCTGCAGACACATGCAACTCTACTGGATGGATTTAACAAAGCCTTATACCGCACAGATAAACCAGACAGGTACATACATGCACTCGTTCTCCCTTCTTCCTCCACACATCCTTTCTGCTTCATTATTTAGGAAATGATTAAATCATTCTTAGGCCAACTTTAGGTTAATATTATCTGTTTGAAACCCTCCGTCACGCTGACCCTGCAGCCTGCTCACATCAGTAGAAAAGAGCTTATTAAAATGACTAATGAGACTGGACCACGGGGGAAGACTGATGCTGAGGCAGCGATATCCCATGTGACTGTCGATCAAGTGTAACCCCTGGAGATGGGGATGATGAATGGCAGCAGTTTGTGTTGATGGAGCTCAATTCACTTTTGACTGACAGCTAGAGTCTCACTGCTGACAAAATCCCATTATGCAAAAAGTTTCCAGGGCACCTAGAGAGACTGCGGAAAGAAAAACTTTTTTTCTCAAGCTCATATTTCTCCTTTTGTTTGTCTTCTTCACTTCGGCTTTTATTAGCATGAAGACAATACTGCTTTTGCCAGAGCACGGAGGCAAGTAAATAAGAATAGCAATGAAGTGGAAAAACAAAAAAGAAACAGACCAGGGCTGACAAATAATAATTTCCACTTTAGTATCTTGAAGGAGAACTTTAGGTGTACTGGCTGTGTTATAACAGGCACAGGATTACATATCCACAGTCTGTTGAGCTATAAGCTACAGCGACTAATCATTAAAGTAAGTTGATAAATTTATAGTTGATGTATTAAAAATATAGAGGAGTGGATGCAGGCTTGGCCAGTCTTGGCAGCCGGGGATCAGTCCGCCAGGGCCTCCGCTCCTGGCCGCCACCCGGCACACAATGCACCCGACCCCTATGGCGCCTCCTGCGGGTGGTGGGCCTGCGGGAGGATGGGCCCATGTCTCCTCTT